GGAGCTTAGTGAGTAAGTCACACTCATGTGCTCAACGTTCCAGGTTTGAGCCCGGCTGTGGCAGGTAATTATCTATTCTTTTGTCCTTGGATTGATCCTAGGGCTAGGAGATCCTTCTGGGGAGTACTCATCCTCTATAAAACGGGTACTTGTAATGAAATATTTCACTTCATGGGAAAAGCAATTGAGTGTTATCTTGGCACAAACATCTCTCTTCACAACTTAAAACAGTACTTCCTTACAAGACCCTCTATTGGTTATAGTGATATAGTTTCTTTTTTTTTATTTTATGTATAATTTTAACTTCAATTTATTTATTTTTTAAACTGAGGTAATTTAAAAACAATTTAGTTTCATTGTGCTGATAAGTATCTACAGTTTCACTCATGTCTTATCAGTTCACATCACAACTGCTATCATGCTCTGTATTATTATAAAAACGAATAAATAGATGAAGAAATTAAAATAAGTACAGCTTTCAAATCACTAATACGATTCCTTGCAGCTTGATGATTTACATTATAATAAAATTATTTAGGTTAATATTTAGTTGTTTTATAAAGGCTACTATGACGTAAATTTTCTGAATTGCAAATATTTGTTCTCTTTTGTCGGCTTCTAAGAAAGCTCATGAATGCTCTAGAATCTCTCCTGCATCATATGATATAAATAGCTCTTCGAAACGGTTGCACATTCTTTGAACTCTCCTCTGGCCAGATTACAGTTCTTACGTATATTTTTAGTGGCGTGTGATAGCCTAGAAACCCAGTTATGCTTGGACATCCCTCCTTGTCGGTCATACCGGTGACTGGAGAGTCAGCTGTATTTATAGAATTCCTTTGGGCTGGGGAGTGGTTCTTGAGGTCCGAGAATAGATATGATAGAGCTGTGGGCCGGAATAGAGATGACCCCGCGTAGAAGAGCACTTATGGAACGGCTTCGCCTTGTTGTCTTCCAGAATCGGTCTCTATTTTGTCTTAAGTGATTTTGGAAAAATACTGTTCATCTTAATTTATTTCAATATCTAAATAAAAAAAAATAACCACAACCATCGCATTGTCTGATCCCTCATGATCTCGATGCATTAAATTCTCTTACGAGACCGAGTGGACCTCGTTCCTGACCGTTCGGAGAGAGAGCATTTAATCCGGCTGTCCTTGGAAGGCAGTCAGATTCATTGAACCCTACAAGACGAGTACGTTTCATCACGAGTAAAAGTAAAAGATGTTTATTGTTTAAAAAATTTGGATTAAGACTTTACTACCTACTGGTACTTAACAAAACAGAATCTAAATATACGATACGGGAAAAAGTTTTATGAAGACGAAGTGTGTGCTGACGATATAAGAATTTCTCGGACACGGAAGTACGTTATCGTTGCAATAGAAATGTAATTCGGAGTTATTATATAATTATTCCTGTTTCCTTAAAACAATATTGAATAGAATAGAAAAATAACTTTATTCTCAGACAATGTACTTAAAGGATAACATTAAGAATAATAAAATAGAAAAATAAAGCTTGTTTCTGGCCCAAACAGCTATTTCATTAAATAAAAAAAATAAAACATTAAATAATAAAAATATATTGAACAAATATAGAATAGTAAAACAAATATTCGCTTATAAAAAAAAATTATATATCTCTTAATATTTTAAATAAAAATTCCTTTATCTTTCGTCGGTTTATTGCAAATAATCACCTCCTACATTCTTGATAGAGCTAATTCTTTAACTACGTCTTTTTGAATTTTGACCTTATTTATTGAAACGAAAATACTATAAGTACCTCATAATGATATAAGACCTTTTATATATTAAATATAGTTTTACATTATGCACAATATTTTGATTCAAAAATTGGAAAATTTATTAGAGTTCTTAGTAGTTTAATTTTATGAAATATCATCTTATAACTTTTCGCTATAAAATGACGACATTGATAGGTAGCAATAGCCGGTTAAAATAAAATTTTGACTTTAAATTGAACTTTTGTCGAAATTCGAATCTACGAGATATACAAACTAAACAGACATGAACACACCAAAAGTAAAATCGTACATACCCAACAAGTTCACAAAAATTCATTCTTCTACTCTCAATCATCCAAACCCACTCCTTCTGTATCTTTCTAGAATTAAAAATTATGTTACTTCGCATTACCTAAATAGTAATAAACTGTTATATTCTTAGGAAATAAAATAAGAAATTTGAAAGACAATGTTAATTGAATAAAATTTGGTAGTATTCAAAATTTACATCCAAGAAGAGGCAACGTTTGATTCACAATTCTACTCCTACAGTATGTGAATTTGCACAAATGTGGTTTTAATAGCTCCCCTCTCCACTGAGTGGCTGGCCCGCGAAGCTGCAACAACCCTGTGTGTTTTCTGGTCGATTAGCTTCGAACAAGGCGACAGTTCCGAGGGCGGCCGTGCAAAAAAACGATTGTGGTCGGGAGGAGTTGAAAAAGAACAAGAGAGCCGGTTCCATAGGCAGGTTCCTCCTCGCCCGCAAACTCGCTCAATAACATAATTCAATTGCCTATTGAATAATTGTCTACAATAAACTTCCTATCATTTATCTTCCTCGTTTATATGCGACAGGCGAGCACGCTTGCCTTTAATGGCTTCGAGGCCTTTGTGGCCCTTTCAACAAACCCTTTAAATTGAATTTCTGTGGGTTTGTATGAACTTATTGTAGCAGCTGGATAGTTTAAACGCATTCAACGCGGCTATTCAAGTGGAATATTTGTAAAGAAGCTCTTAATGAATGCTATATTTCATTTTAATATATGGCCTGGAGCTGGAATTATTATTTTCTAACCCTTAGCAAATGCTTGCTGAAGTGATGGAAGTTATCAATTTAAAATACACGATAATTCTGCTCCTCCCACTTTTATTTATTTAATTATATCCCCTTCGTTTTCTCTCTTTTTTTCCTTCTTTTAATTATTGTTGTTGCTGAGCTAGTGGCCAATCAGCACCATAACACTCTTTAAGAATTAAACATTTTGTAATTTTTCCGGTTTTAATCTTTCAAACGCTATCTTCTTTTCTTTGAACAAATAAATTTATGAATTCATGTTTTTATTTATACAATTACAAAACGTAAGAAACGAAATCTTATAAAAGGGCCTCTAAGACAATATGCCTTCTGATGAGTTGCTTAATTGCACACTTTACTTATTTACACTCTTGTCCATCTTTATTAGACATGTTAACTATATATTGAATACAGTTAGATATATCCATTGCAATTACAATATTTATTTCTGCTAAAACATAGAACTTTACCTTGAATTAGTTACTGAAATGCTCTATTAGAAACTTTCTGTATCCTGCTATACAGATGCTCCATATACTTATGTAAAAATAGAATTATATGGCTTTATCGATTTTTTGAAGTTTTATCCAATCCGACTCGCTTAATATATTTATCACTTCATCCAGGGTTAATTGCTCTTCAGTATAGAGCCTTTACCCAAGGAGTCTCTTCAGAACTTCTTCAAACAGAGCCCATTCCGAGGAAATGTTAAGTTTCTTCCGACACATCTAAATTAAGTAAATGCCCAAGTAAATGACCTAATTTTATTTTTGGATAGCGTTTCAGTGTTAATTTTAACCTAAATTTTATTTGTTAAATTTCTCCAGACAGGTGTTATATGGTCTTCTCTGTTGATTACCATTTGCAGTTTTATTTTTCCATTTGTTACCTTTTTGAAGAAGCTGTTTGCAACAAGGTAAAAAAGATTGCTGATCTTCTTATGGTGATGTTTCTTTTCTTTCAGTACTCCTGAAATTGTTTTGGATATGCATAGTATTTTTTTTCTATTTGTTCATGGAAGATGAGTGATATCGTGATAGCCAAGCGTGTTAGAACGTAGTCCTTTTTAACATTCGTGAGTCTAGCGAAGCCGGTTCAAATCCGGCCTGAGTGGTTTGAGAATTTTCTTAATGCGGAACTCAACAAATTGCTGTCGCCGGCCACCAAGGGAATACTTTTTACAGCCAAAAAGGTCAGATTTTTTCGATATTTTTTGTTATTTCACCTATAACTTATAAACGACGCATCAATGCGAATAATGTATTACATTGACGCCAAACTTGATGCTCTACAACTTTGATTCTATGGGTTTTTAATCTAAGGGATCTCATCTCTAAGTTACAGAGCCATTTATAGTAATTTGTCTCAGTTGTTGACAAATTTGGTAAAAATCAGCGTTGGTTGATCGTGGTTTTATACCTTCCGCGTTACCGAATTCTAATGTTTATGTACTCGTTTGACGCAAAATTTAACGTTCTTTAATTTATTAAAGAGTACATTATTCGCTTTTAGGAGTTATAGGTGAAAAAAACAAAAAATGTCGAAAAAATCGGACCTTTTTGGCTGAAAAAAGTTTTTCCTTGGTGGTCTGCGACAGCAATTTTATTTTAAGTATCTAAACCCATATATACAAGTTAAAAAAATAAAACATTTCTCACATTTGTATTAATGGATTTCCCGTTTCGATCCTCAAATTATTGGTCTAATATTCTTTAAATCAGCCGCCACTTTTAAAGCAGCGGCGGCTCTGGAACGGCAGAGAAAGTTCTTTTTTCTCAGAATAACATACACTTTCATAATTTACAATCAACCATTCGCTTGCGATCAGGTTGATTTTTGGTTCCTGGCTCCAAGGCTACTGGAATGAATTTCCACCTACCCACCCTGGTTAGAATAAGTTTGGATTTATCTCTTGATTAACCCTCTCTCTCTCTCTCTCTCTTCTCTCTTCCCTGTTTGCTAGAAATGGGGCGATAGGTTTATATTTGAAAACGAAAAAAAGTCCATGTAAGATGTTTCAGGTTTGCCCAATATCATTTTTTTATCTTGACTATGCATGAATTGTCGAAACGTTGATTGCGTAGCGAAAATGGTCTTTAAGAGAGCTTTGTTTCTAAATTTTCCAACAGTATATCAATTTAAAGTTCTAGTTATATCATTATCAAATGTGTCAGTCTAGGTGAGATAGCCCCGGGGATATATTTGGACATGGTGGACCCTCGATCTGTTATCAGCCTTTATCGCCCAAAAACATACGTAATGTTCCGAAACGTTGATAAAGGCGAGGGCGCTGAATGTCAAGACTAAAGAGGCATTCACCCCGAGCTCCCGTGGCAGAGAGGCCGCCGCGAGATTTCTTTCTCTCATTTTTTGTCGACCGCTTTTTGTCGAGTTGATTGCATTTCTAGCAGCCGCTATCCTTTGTAGTCCGTTGTTATAGATCGTTATCTCATGTAATTGTAGGTTACTACGTCTATAGTAACCCACATCGTATCTGCCTGACCTTAGATGTGTATTATCCTGCTTATGAAGTATGAGTCATTATACATTTGAAATTATTTTCCTGTTTCTTTTCAGTCTAATTATCTATTCTGATTTGATAAATAATTTGTAATCTCCACTGTTTGCAATAATTTGAATAAAAGTATTAGATGCAATGGAAAATACCACTTGTTGATTATCTAATTCCAAGTTTTCGATCAAGCATCTCTTATTTAGTTATTATGCATACCTATTTTTTTAATGCATTATTTTTCTCAATGCCATCCATTTTTTTATTCTAACCACCATTTTTGATTAGGCGACAGTTACGGGTTCCAACCACTTACGAATCATTTCTGCCCTTATATAATATTTATATTTTAGCACTTACACAATATTCAAAGTTACTAATAATTTAATTAGAAAGAATTTGCAGTAAGAAATTTTTTTTATTATAATTTATATCATATTTTCGACAATAAAATTAAAAAAACCTAAAATCTAGTAAATTCGTGCATGGATATAATGACATGAAACACATATTGAGAAACTACCCATTGGTAGAACTCTAATAATATGTCTATATTAGGAGATCACGGAGCCATGTTATTTCAGGCCCCTCGGAGGATTATCAGGAATTGAACAGGAAGTAAGGGGAAATGGTTATGAACAAGAGGGTTGGGATGGTTATGAAGTTTATTATGGAAAGATAGATATCTGGATTGGCCAAATCTAATACATAAGGAACATTAAGGTCATTGTGGATGATTTTATTTGTAACAAAGTAAGGAGCATTGAGGATTTTACGAAGGATTTTGGATTGTAAGGATTGGATACGAGAGGAATTTGAAAATTTGGTCCAGTCCCATACCTCAACTCCGTAAGTCCAAATAGACCTTATTATAGTCGTGTATATGATTCTTTTGTAATTAAATGGAAAGTTAGAGCGTTTGTCTAGTAAGTGTTGAAGTAGTCGGACGTTGAGCGTTTTTTTTGTAGTTTCAATCTGGTATGAGGATGCCAAGTTAGACGTTTGTCCAGGTGAAGTCCTAGGTAACGGATTCGCTCAACTGGAATAAGTGAGGTGTTGTTAAAGGATACTGAGGAAATCATTGGTTTACGAAGAAGGGTAAAGGTAATTTGATGGGATTTATTGGATTTTATTCTAATTCTTCAGTTTTGACACCATTCTTCAAGGTTTGTAATGTGTGATTGAAGGGTTTGGGATGCAATTTATGGCTCGCTATTAACTGATAGAATACATGTGTCATCGGCATATGTGGTGATGACAGTGGATGGGTTGGGATGTATGCTGCTTCGACTGTGTAAAGGATAGAACCTTGGATACTACCTTGAGCAACGCCTGCAGACTGGAAAAGCGGGATCTATAGACATTGTTGTGATTTACAATAAGAAATTAACAAGAAATTTGAAGGTATAAAACATTAAAACGTTAAACGACAACTTGAAAAAATATATTTAATATTCGGTTAAAATAGTTGAGTTAATTGAAGAAATAATTTTTTTGTAAATAACAGTATACATATTATTTTGTTTGCCATCTACATATTATTTTTCAAAATTGCATTAATATCATTTCCCAATCCAACTTCATCAAAATGAGCTCCATATGTTAAGATAAACAACACTGTTAAATACATTGAAGGGGTGTTGATACGTATGTTGAACAAAATGAAAACTATACTTCAAAACCTTTGGACAGAATTATTTCTTAGTTTAAGTTTCAATCCATCTTCTAATATTTGTATAAAGAGTTAGAGTATCCCTGTCATTTATCCAAAGTTATCAGGAAAATGAAAAAAGCAACTTGTTCCTGGGAATATTAAATATTACAGCTGCTAAGTTTGTTTATTTTTTGTCCTTTGAATCACCAAACAACTGATCTTTAAAAATAAAAAAATGTTTTATTGTCTTCGTCACTATTTATAAGCACCTCTCGTTTAAGTACACCTCTGTAAACCATGATGGGTTTTGTCTGTATTTCAATGGATGGATATGGTTTTTTGAGGGGACGGAGATGAAAGATTTTAGGGGGTTATGAATTTTTTGAGATAACACTACTTTTTTGAGATTTTATTTGAACAGAAGTTTCAAACCAAGACACAAGTAAAGTACATTTTTTTTATAATTTTACTTTCAAATGCATCGTTTTTAAGAAGAGGAGAACAATAATTTTTCTTGAGGAAAGGGGCCATGGGCTTTAGGATTGGACAACCATGTGCATGGTTTTGTTTATATATCTTATTTTTTTTAATTAAAAATAATGTATACTTGTATGATTTTCTTTAGTTAATTTTTTAGATTCAGCGCAATATCTGCTAGCTTACTGACCTGATTATTATGGTTTATTTATTTAAATATTTTAAAGTAAACTACTTGTAGTAAACTAATGGAAAAGCGATGGTTTGTATATTTGTGTTTGGTTCCTTCTAAATGTTCACTAATATACACTTTCCTGTTTTCTTCTTTCTTTTCAGTACAATGTTTGGATTGTGTAATTCGGTTCAGAACGTATTATCCACACATTTTCTGTGCCTTTATTTTAGCGCTGACCTCTTTCCAGTAGTACTGACCAATATATTTTCAGCAAAACTTAAAATGATACTGGAAGGAGAACATTTTTTCTGTTTTTCTTTTCTGATATTCGCAAGTGCGGATGCTCAATTATGTTCGGAAGTGTTTCTGGCTAGCGTTTATTCCATGGATATTATTTCTCCAGTTATATGGTAGTTACAGGTCCTGTAAACTTGTCAAGCATTGGCCTCTGTACACAGTTAAGCTATCTTCTTCAAACATTGGTCAGAGATAAAGTTGGTGTCTCTGGTTGCTGAGGGATTCCAGCATTCAGCTCTGTTACTTGTATTTCTTGTTTTGTTGGAATTTCTTTTTTAAAGTTTTCTGCTTAATTTCCGTTAAACTATTGGTTAGAGACATCAAAGAATTATCATGAAATTTGAATAATCTATAGTTAATCGCATCATGTTTCAAATAGGAATTACATAATGGTATCCCGTACTGGTTGCTGGTTAAATTAAAATAAAATTGATGTTTAGTGTTTATAAGTTGTTTTGGGCACTTATCAGTTATATTTATAAAAACAAATTATCTTTATCTCAATGCAGCGATATTTTATACCAATATTTTCGTTCAACGCTCTTTTGCGTCATTGAGCATATAATTATTTAAGTTGTTATTAGTTTCTTTTAAACCATTGAGTATTTTTTGTTTTTAAATGTAAAGCTTCCATTTCCAAGCACTGCTTTACAGTTATGATAATTTCAATTATTATATGTTGCATCGCCAATTTTCAAAAATAAATGTTCAGTCACTTTTAGGATCGTCCAATGGATGTGACTCAAACACCATGAAATTTATTCATACATGTCATGAATTATTTTGTTATATCTGGCCCACATTTTCCCATCAATAATTCAGGAGAAGATTTTTAGTAAACAAAAACTAATCAACAATCTTCTAAAAGTTAAATCGTTATGGAAAAACTAATAACTGTTTTTCTAAACACTAATTATTATTAATCGATAACCAAATTCACGAAAGAAAATTTGTATAACTTTTAACCAAATAATCAAATGCTGAACAATAATAATTATTATATTATATTATATATTCTCCCAGAAATATCTGTGTTGAATGATTAAGTTGGCTGTAAGAGTGTGATGTGCATTACACTATAATTTTCAACACAATAAGTAGACCTTCGTAAATAGAATATAAAATTTGTATACAGCGTTGTATGGACGCTGTTGTGCTGAAATGTACCGACGGATTTCATAAGCATATTTATTTAGGAAAATAAATAATATATCTCTCTTAGGAGCCAGAAAAAAAAAGAAAAAAAGAAAATTTGAACAGTTGTTGCATGCATTCTATTTAGAAATTTAAGTATTTCAGTAGTAACCATTCCGAAAAAAAGCAACATTCGGTACGTTTCTGCCTAACACCTTTCATATATTTTTGTTAAATCATAAAGATCTATTTATCCATAAAGGTTTTCAGGTTAAAAAAAAAAAAGAAAGAGAGAAAGACTATGGAAGTATAGATCCTCCGTTAGTTCTATCATTAGCGCTAAGCGCATACCATATAACGGACAGCGGTAACCATCAGGAATAAAAAACCGTGGTTTTCGCCTTGCTTTTGGCCTAGATTAAGTCATAATGTAGGCACATGATTATTTTAAAGGGCATTACAACAGTTATTAGAGGCATCGAATTTAATATGTACGTATAAAGAAATTAATAAAACGTAAGTAATGATTTTAAATTACTAACGAATTTATTAATATTGCTTTTAAACTTTTTTTTTATATCACTGGGCACAATGAAACAGATAATTCCAACTGCACACGACTCCAACTGCACACGACTCCAACTTTCCGGATGTTCAAAACTGATACACAAATACAAAAACTTCTTGATCAAGTATATTACGAATCGTAATAAACAACCATGACTCTTGGACTTGAAACCCTACATACCAAAATTTGCCAGCTGTCTGCTAACAAACCAGAACTTCGTATCAATGAATTCATAATAACTTCCACGGACATACCGAAAGATTGATAAGAAAGATACCTACAGCTGACATGCCTTATGAATACCGAAAGGAGCTGGATGAAAAATAGCCTCCCTAACTAACCATGGCAGTCGATGATTGTCATAAACATTTGACAAGTGCTAATTAACTTTTAAAAAACATTGACAATCATTGAAAATAAACGTATAACAAAGGTTCTGCGCATGTGTTGCTTTGAAAGAGCCAAAGTATATTAAATAAACTATATGTTATTTTTTTTAATCTTCATTTCGGTTTTCTACAGAGAAATGCTGATTCTATTGTCAAGTAATTACTTGTTTATTCTTAAATGTAGGGTTCTTACCGTTCTAAAACTTACTTCTAAGAAATAATACTCGTTTTTTGTCAAATTCTAATATTAATAATAGAAACTGCTACAGAATTTATCTACATTTTCATATTTCATAAACCTATAAGCACATACTTCTCACTGATAAAAGGAATATGGAAATACCCAGTTTCAAAAATATTTTGAGTCATGTAATTTTACTTGAAACTCTACCTAAACAGCTACCAATAGTCGGACAACATAGCAGTAGTCTTTGCCAACGATTTCATAATAACTTCGTCGAACATACCAACAGATTGACAAGAGAGATACCTACGGCTGACATGCCCTATGAATACCGAAAGGAGCTGGATGAAAAATAGCCTCCATAACTAACCAAGAAAGTTGACGATTGTCACAAACATTTGACAGGTCAAAATTAACGTTCGGAAATAGTTAAATTAATAATCCTAGAATATATAGGTATAATATGCTGCTCCCTAGTGCTCATGATGCTCCCTTTGAAAGAACCAAACTCTATTAAATAAACTATATGCTGTTCCCTAATGTTCATTTCAGTTTTCTAGATTATATTGCTACTTCTATCATCAAATAATCACTCATTAATTATTAAAGATAGGTTCTTGTTCTATAACTTACTTCTTAGAAAAAGTATTTAGGTTTTGTCAAGTTATGTAACCGTTAAAACGTACTGTCAAGTACACTATTCTTAGAGATGAACAAGATGGAAATTTTTCGTTATGATATATATTTGTTTTTCGAGAGAGTTAAGAAAAAAAAAATGATGCAAGAAGAGAAGTGGTGGCAATCGTTCATCATTTCTAAATTTATCTGACGTGCGTTATTTCTGTTTTTATTCAACCATCCAATTCCTTTCGTTCATTCCTTCACCCCGTTCTCGCGAAGCTAGACTGTTAGTTATTGCAACATTCCAATACAAATATTATTGTTACGATAAAAGCAACTGCTCACATTTCCGCCAATTGGGAAGGAGCTATTATAGACCATGATGAAATTGAAATCACGCGGTGTGTGTATTTCTGTGCATTACCTAATTGGAACATTACCAAGGATTTTTGGGTGCCAACTTTAAAGTGCCGTTAAATCTCTCTTCCTGCTCCCCCCCCCCTTAGATGACCTCAGGCCTTGCAGTAACTAGAAACCGTCCTTTAAAGATATTGTATTCGTATTGATCCATTCATTTCCAAACAGTTTTGAACTGAACAAAAAATAATAATGGGTGATAAATATTCAAGACGCAGTCATCTTAATTTTTTTTTATTTGTTCCAACATTTCAACCCAAACATGTGGGTCATCATCAGGGTGTGGTTCGAGCACTGAAGGTGTTCAAGTACTCAATACCTTCAGTGATGATGATCCACATGTTTGGGTTGAAATGTCGGTACAAATAAAAACATTTTTTAAGGACTGCGTCCTGAATATTTATTACCCATGATATGTAGAACAGTCGACTAGCTTCCTTCAATAATTCAAAAAATAATAATGTTGGATATAACTTGTTTTCATTATGAAATGTTTTTTTTTTTGTTTAAAAAAAATAAACGACTTATTTTGTGATCCATGTCATTGAAAAGTTAAAAGATAATACACGGTGGGCCAGACCCCCTTACCGTGCACCCCCCCCACATCCCTATAAATTGCATATCGTTGTGTTCCTTGTAACAATTTATTAAAAAAAAGCCAATGTTCCCACAAAAAAAAGTGAACGCAGTGCCCCAAAATGGCGTCCAAAGATGGCGGATTGACGACTTTGACTTTAGTTAGTTGTTTGGTCACTGAGAATCAGCATTAAGCTTAATTTCCTCATAGTTGGTCTTTTATTAAAGCTGAATAGTTATAGAATAATAAAACATGAAGAAATATTAAAAAATAATTGGCTAAGGCTATGAAAAACACCAGTAAAGTCAATTTTTTTAACAAAAAAATTTTCAAGTTACAAATCAAGCGTCGTTTGTAATTAAACGGCCTACAATAACGCAAAACGTGCTGAAATAAACCATCTTGAGAATATATTTTTCTTTCTGAAACGCTGATTATTTTTTACAAATGTTTAAGTAGTTCCGTAAAAAATGCACTTATGCGGCAGAAAAGCGGTACTGGCGTGGGTGCCTACAGTTCTCTACCACACCATTCAGTGCCCATAAATGGCTTAGTTATAGTGATATAATAACATTTTTGGTACATTATATTGGTTTTATTAACGAACAAGTATTAATGCAATAATTTTATAGTAAAAAAAAAAAATTTTAATTTAAAAAAATATTTATTATTATTTTTTTAAATTTTAACCTCCTTTATTCTATACGTAGGTCGTTTAAGAATACCTCAATTGTAAAAATGATATAATTATAATAATAAAACTTAATTAAAAAATATTTTGCTAAATATCTTGATTTTTTTTTATTTAACGTTTGCAATTTAACACTGTGTTTTGAATATTTACTGATTCTTAGAAGTAATTAAAATTTTTATATACTTCCCAGGAAATGAGTCATATTCATAACTTTTTTATAAACTAAAATAATATATACCTAATCTGAACTATATATAATGAATAGCTACCGGGTTGTTTAGTAAAACTCATATATCACTAATTAAAAAATTAATTTTTATTTCCTTTATTTTGTGCACAAGTTGGACTAAATCATAAATAAATAGGAAATTTTAATATTGAATGAATTATTCTCTATGCACAAAGAAAGATATAAAGGGTGACCCTATAAGTTCTTCTATAAACCAAAACTGATTGTTTGGATTTGATCTCAAAATGAGGAAAAACGTGAACTTAAACGAGAAAATTGGAAAAATACATTAAGCGAACGAGAAAGGAAGTGCCAAAACCTCGGAATAGATAAAAAGGACCAGTTATATCCATTATATAGCTAAATGAATGTATAGTAGATAGATGAACAGAATATTTCAAGATGCTGCTAAAACGGGATCAATTGCAGTTTGGATGATATTAAGTGGACGATGTAGGTTTATTATGGTGAAAACCACTTTATTTTCGATTGCTGAAGGTGCACATCGGGACTATATTAACTTTGAAGATGAATATAGAGATGTATATCGAGAAAGTTATAGCTCATAGCTTTCCTTCTGTTTAATGGATTTTCAAAAGATTTTTTAAGGTATCATATATTAGTTGTAGCTCGTTATTCTTGAATTGTTCGGAATTTGTACCATATCATAAAAAAATAGAAAATTTTAATATTGAATGTATTATTCTCTCTGCACAAAGAAAGATGGAAAGGGCGAAACCGAACTGCTTTGACAGTTTTGCGCGTACATAGGCAACAAGCATATTAGAAAATAATATGAAAGGACTGCGGTTTTTACCTTTACAAGAAAGGAGATACTAGGAAATTTAATACCCATCAAGACCCATTCCTGTTTAGTGTATCAAACAAATTATACACAAGAGTCGTAGAAGCTGGAATAAGAAATATTGTCGATTGCCAGATTGATATGGATTGAGAAACTCAAGTTGCACATTGGAAGAGAAGATGAAAATTGGGACTGTCTTCACTTTAAGGTAGGTTATAGAGAAGTCCTCATAAAAAGAAAAATAGCTCTCTATCTGCTCAGTGCCTCACACTTTGGATTATGCTAATATCTAACTGTCTTTCAGAAAAACTCGTTTTCCTTTTAGATCCCTTAAAAAATCTTTTGAAAATCCACTAAACAGAAGGAAAGCTATGAGCTATAACTTTCTCGATATACATCTCTATATTCATCTTCAAATTTAATATAGTCCCGAGGTACACCTTCAGCAATCGAAAATAAAGTGGTTTTCACCATAATAAACCTACATCGTCCACTTAATATCATCCAAACTGCAATTGATCCCGTTTTAGCAGCATCTTGAAATGTTCTGTTCATCTATCTACTATACATTCATTTAGCTATATAATGGATATAACTGGTCCTTTTTATCTATTCCGAGGTTTTGGCACTTCCTTTCTCGTTCGCTTAATGTATTTTTCCAATTTTCTCGTTTAAGTTCACGTTTTTCCTCATTTTGAGATCAAATCCAAACAATCAGTTTTGGTTTATAGAAGAACTTATAGGGTCACCCTTTATATCTTTCTTTGTGCATAGAGAATAATTCATTCAATATTAAAATTTCCTATTTATTTATGATATAGTCCAACTTGTGCACAAAATAAAGGAAATAAAAATTAATTTTTTAATTAGTGATATATGAGTTTTACTAAA